TTTCTGAGACTGACTCTTTACCGAAGTAAAGAGTCTTCCTCCCTTTCAGAGTTGAGGGTTTGGTAAGTGGCATTCTATTGTCTTACTGCCTGCACGGTTACTACTGAAAACTATGTTATTCTTCCTGGTTTTCCTTTGTATGTGACTATGACACCCTCCCCCCACTTGCTTTCAGGATTCTTCCCTTGTCCTTAATATTTAAAATTTTGACTACAATATGTCACAGTGATGTTCTTTTAGGGTCTATCCTTCTTGGGATCCTTTCCATTTCCTGACTAGTTCTTCTCTCCTCTTCCATGTTGCGAAGGAAGCTTTCTTCCAGTATTTCTGATACACTGTTCTCTGGAATGGTTTCATCCTTTCTGAGGATCCTAGGAAGACATAAGTTGTTCCTTTTGAAAGTTTAGCACATAATTCTTGGACTTTCTTCAGACTTTTTTGTTCTTTTATTGATTGTTCTTCTCATAGGCTGGAGTTGAGACTTTTGCTCAAAGCTCACTAATTCAGCTTTCTGTTGCTTCAATTCTATTACTTGGTTGTTTTAAAGTGTTATTTAATTTTGTTATCTAAGTATTAATCTTCTGAAATTTGATTACTTCTGTTTGCTTTTGTTTTGTTGTTGTTTTTGTAAGGTTTCTAATTTTCTTATAGCTCGCTCAATTTCTTTCTCCATCTCTTGAAAGAACTTGAACATCATTCTCCTGGTTTCTTAATGGTTGCTCCAGAAGCCTTCTTTTTCAGAGAATTCTTTTGGATCTAGGTACTATTTACTTGTTTGTGCCTATCTTCTTTCTTGTTTCTTCATGAATACGGAGCTTTAGTGCGACCTCCACAACATCTTGACCCAACTTTTAGGGGTGGGAAGGAGGTGGGGATATGTGCTGATCGATAGTTGGCTCTGTTGGGTGGTATGGGAAAGGAATAATAGAAACCACAAGACAAAAAGAGGAAAGAAAGGGGCGGAGGGGGAAGAGAGAAAAAAGACAGTAATAAAAAATTTGAGAAAAGAAGGAAAAGGGAAAATAAAATAATAGCAAAAGAAAAGAAAATGGATATAGTGTGTGTGTGTGTGTGTGTGTGCGCGCGCGCGTGCACATATTTCTGCATCCTTTTCTATCTCTGTGCCTGGGCTCTCTTTTCAGTTGTAGAGAGTTGTGGGGGTGTTTGTAGCAGGATTGGTGAGAGTGCAGGTATGGGAGCACAAAGGCTGGGGTGAACTGCGTGCTTCAGGGGCTGAAGCTGGGGGTCTCCAGGTGCCACATGGAAGTCTTATGCAGGCCACGTGAAGGGCTAGTGCAGGTCTGGCGGGGATGGGGTGGGGTGGGCGAAGCGGGTGGTGGTGGTGGCATGTGGGCCACATGAACTGGGATCCATGAGAGGGGATCCAGTTTTTCCTCCCCCTTCTCTACCCACACTCTCAATCTCTGGTGTGTGGAAAATTTGGCTCACTTAGTTTTTATCCCCTCTTTCAAGATTGTAACCATCTGTTTTTACTTTTGTGTCGGTTTTCTCATGATTGTTGTAGAGGGTCTGTGTATCAAGACAGCATTTTTGATCCTGAACTTCCTGACGCTGTAAATCTTTATGGGAGCAGAAAGCCTCACCTTTCTCCCACAGAGGCTGCCCTCAAACTGCTGACCTTGCAGTTGGCAGCCCAACATATAACCCAGTGCACGACCAGGGCTCCTCAGGGCGAGGCAGATGTGGAAAACTGGCTGGAGAAATGCAGTTAACTTCAAGTATGACTTGGGCTGTGCTAAAATAAGTGTGGTGCTCAGGGTATGAATATAGACACTTGAAACTCTGCACTGGCAGTCAGACTCTGATGCCCTCCATTCTCCTAGGGCAGGGGTGTCAAACTGGCGGCCCCCAAGGTAATTTTTTTGTGGCTCATGATGCGCTGAAATAAAATGAAAATAGGAAAAATTGTTATGAAGACAGTAGCGCTTAAGGGAGATAGAGGTAAGACCATACACACAATTCCCTCGTTAACCCTTGAACTACTGAAGACGAGTATACACGTGGCCCAGTGCCTTTCCTGGCGGCCTGTGGACGTGTATGAACCCGGCGATGTTTGGAAGCGATATGTCTGCCACTGTCAGTGTCACATAATGTAAACAGATCCCAATAGCGAAAAGGTTAAAAAGACCACTCTGGGTTGTACTGTTATGAATCATACCTAGCGGCAGCATTCATTAACCTTTTTAGAGGGAAGCCATTACAATTGTGTATCACATTTGTCAGCTGTCCAACATTTTGTGTTTTTTATTAGTTACTTTGTTATATTTCCAGTCACAACATAAAAGGTAAGTGAAAACTAGTAGGAGGAAAGCGCTGGCAAGTTTTAGGTAAAAAAGAATTATTTTAGTTTTAGAAATACATAAAATAAAATAAATGTTAAAATAAAAGCAATTAATAATGTTTTAATTATCCTATCCATATTCCTGAATCCTAACTTCAAAATATAAATTTAACAACATTTGTAAATGTGATGTGGCCCATGTGAATCTTGCCTGTTACACCAAATGACCCGCGTTTTAATTGAGTTTGACACCCCTGTCCTAGGGGAATGTCCAGGGAAAGGGTCAGGGGACTGAACGCTCTTCGGGTTCTGGGCCCTGACCTTCTACATGCACCCACATCGCTTTGTTTGGCTTTTATACTGCTCCACACATCCTTAGGGGATGTGGAGAAGTACAGAAGGCAGGGGCATTGTGTGGTGGCGCTGGGATCTTGTAGGGCTAGAGATCCCACTTTTTCAAGAGACTGGAAATCTAGACTTATATGAAAACATATTTTTCAGTTTTGGCAATGAAATGGCAGCTTAAGATTTATACTACAGTTTGACTGAGTTCTGAGTGTCATGTTTTATGGGGGAGTTTGACAAACTTTGAAACACTGTGAGAGAGAATGCAAGCCCCTTCATGAAGGAGCTGTTAGGACTGTAGTGTTTTGAATGGAGAGGAAACTTGAGCAGTGGTGTGACTGGGGATCAGTTTGGGGGATACTGCGGGAGAGGACAAACCTTTGCTTATCTGGAGGGCAGAGCCAGGCTGTGCAGTGGTAAAGGAGGAAAGCACATTTCTCAGAACGTATCTGCGAGGTGTCCCAAGAAGTTAGAGCTCCATAAGTTTAGGAACTTGGGAGATTGGCCGCTTTGCCCATACTTCCCAGCATTCAGTTCATTCTGGGTCTCTCCTGGCCACCAGCCTGGGCTACTCTAGCCCTAGCCCTCTCCCTTCACTCTGCCTCAGTGCCTTGATATGGTCAAGGCTTAGAAATAGGGACTGTTAATAGAACTTCTTAGGGGGGAGTTTGTTCGTCACGGAGTTGCTCCTCACTCAAATATTTGATTTCTCCCTAAATACATTGAAGTCTCTGCTCATGTGTGTGGCTGTCCCCACATCACTCTACTTTCTTTTTTTCTTCATTGTGCTTGTCACTGCCTGTGAAGAATGCATATTTATACTGAAATAATAGAGAGTAGTTAGTGTTATTGTGTTTTCTCTGTTTATTGCTATGTTCTATAAAGGGAACCCTGGTAGTGCTATGGGTTTGGGGCAATGTGAAGGGGAAACTGGCTATGTAAACAGGTATTATAAGAAATTCTGAGGTGAAGCGATTTGCCAGAAATCCTGTGGCTGGTTGTTGGGAGCTAGGAATGGCATGTGGTTCTTCATTTTCTACCTTGAACTCAGACCAGGGCTCACTCACTGCCATCAAGTTGATTCCGACTCGTAGCAACCCTATGGGACAGGGTAGACTGCCTCCGTGAGTTTCTGAGACTGCCAACTCTTTACTGGAATACAAAGCCCAGTCTTTCTCCTGACCGGTGGATGGTGGTTTTAAGCTGCTGACCTTGTGGTTAATTGCCCAACTCGAAACCACTTTGCCAAGGCTTCCGTGAAGCAGGGTTGACACATTGAAATTGTAGAAGGGGCTAGCCTTCTATCAAACACAAAACAAACCATTTCTCTTCACTTGATTTTATTAAATGTTGGTCTTGATTGATTTAAGTCCACTTTTTTCCCCCTTTTGATAGAAAAAGATTTCTCATCTTAAGAGCTTATGATTTTATTTTCTTTAATTTAATCATAGTGTCAAATGTGTAGTAAATCAGAATGCCATTAATGAAAGTAAATAACCATCCTTTGAAGTTCATTTAGTAGCAAGAGACTACATTTTTTGCTTGTTTGCCAGATCAGTACTATATCTGTGTGAGGACTGATTTAGAAAGATTTCAGTCTGTTGGTCATTTATCCAAAAACTTTCGCCTAAGGTTCCCATGATTCAAATTTTGCCAAGCATTTAAGAGTGGTGATTTGCAATCGTGATTTTACAAACTCTGTGATTGGCATTAACTGTCTGACATCTTAACAGGTGAAAAGAGGTGATTTTCCTTTTGGGTTATTAAAGGTGTGATCTGCAAAATAATTGGGAAACTATGAACTCAGGAAGTTGCTCGGCTTCTTTTAGCTTTGTGAATTTTTCTCTAGCTACCTCTCCTGCCAAGGAAACCTGAAAATTCTCAGGAACTTGTAAGTACTGAGTGTTGCTGCCTTGAATGTGTGTCCCAGGAAATCATGAGACCCCTGCCTTTCATGTAGATGGATTTATTTCTTTTACAGTGACAGGAAATTACTGGGACTTTCTTCTCCCACTACTTTTGTGTTCATCCGTTCTTTTAGTTTGCCCTCTTTAAATTCTGCCAGAAGATTTAAGATGCAGCCTGTTTACTCTGCTTGGGAAATAACCTGATAAGCGTGTTCCACGCAGCAAGGAGATTTAAAAAAATAAATTAATAAAAGCACATTTGCCAGTGCTAGCCAACATAGCGAAGTTTAATGATAAGCCATGGAGGTCAGTGATCTTGCAATGGGGACACTAGGCAAGAGACCTTCCTCCTGCTGGTTGTATTTCAGAAAAGGCTTAAAAGATCAGATGAGCTTTTTACCAGTTTAGTCTTTGCTGATTTCCTCTGTGTATTTTATTTCTGGCAGCACCTTTAGTGGGAGAGTCTTCCGGATAACTTTCTTGATGTTGGCCGTTTCCCTCACCGTTCCTGTGCTCGGCGTCGTGTTGCTCCTGGAGTCTCCAATAAACCCACAGCCTTTCAGGTGAGCTATCCCAGCAACTTTTGGAGAGAGCGGCTTGGCAGTATCATAAGTGGAAATTGTCTCTAGGGAGCCAGAGGCACTAAATCATCTGGCCTTAATGGTATGGTAAGAGAAATAGAGTTTCAGAATTTTTTTAGGATCCTAGTTCTCACACTGAATTAGATATTACACAGAGTATATATGTGTGATGTTGTCTCTGTTATTGTTTCAAAAACAAAACTTATAATGCCGAAGTACCCATAAATTGTGAAGTTACATTGTCATATTTTAAAATTATCAACGTAAGATTTTTTTCAATACCTGTGATCAGTGTTCTATTTTTCCAAAGTTAGTTTCCTTGATGGAGATAAAGTTTATTCCATGATGGAATAATGCAGTCCCTCCCTTATAAGTTGAAAAATTAGCATAGCCCCAGAGAACCCACAAACTGCATTAGTAATAATTAGAAATATAATAGTACAGACCTAGACTTTCCTTAGTTGTGATGACCTATGACACTGATGTTGAACTGGGGTCCAAAGGGTTGTGCAGTCTGTAACTAGACCTGTTTCCCTTGACGGTGCCTAGTCAAGGGAAGCTGCGCAGGGTTCATTTTGGTTAAATTCATTTTAAATGTGTAGGAACTTGAGACAAGGACTACGCCAAGCTATAGAGCCATTAAAACTTACAATTTTTTGATGTTAATCAATAAAAATTGTGGCTTTATTTCAGATTCAATTTTATAAAAATGTCTATTTAACCCTTAGTAATCCTTAAAATAAGTACTCAACTGATACAAAGACACAGAATACAGTTCTGACCTTAGATTGACATATATGAGGGGCCTTCAAAAAGTTATGTAAAAATTGAATGAGAAGATTGTGGCTATAGGAGGGAGATCCATTTCCTTCTTGGCCGTTGGCCAGGGTTAGTGATCAACTTCTAGTGGCTTTTCCCATTCCTGGGCTCATGGTCACCTTCATCTTCATGGCTAAACATGGTGAGGAGGGTCTTTCTTCTGCCCATAAACCAAGATTATTCCCCACATGTTTCAGATGAGAGCCCAGACTAGCTAATATTGCAGCCGAGTGAAACCCTAATCAGAATACACAAACTTTCTTGAAGTTTGACCTACAAAAATAATAAATGGTGCTATTTAAAAGAAGAAAAAGATAAAGGGATTTCTTTTTCCCCATGAACTTTTTGGAACCCTCTTGTATATAGGAGTCAACTTTATGTTGGATTTAGAATTAGAAAAAATTTAGGGTAAACCAAAATTAGTGTGAGATTGAGACTAGAAAAAGATGTGAGAGTCTGTGGACAGTTAAACGGGTTTTAGTGTTGTGGTTTCTGGTATGCCAGGGGAAACTCACGTATCTCTTCCTGAGTGGGTCTGAGGACATAGAGTATCTGCTCAGAAAGGACCTGGTTCAGTATGCCCAGGACTCCAGGATGTTTTAGGGGAGGGGCTTTCTCTTCCGTTACTACCCGTCAACATAGCAAAGGATGTTGCTCAGGAACTATCTGGGCTCTGTTGGATAATCTACTTGTCTCTGGCTGAGAGGAGAAGGAATAGTGTCCCCAGCTGGAGGTCCAAAGCACAAGTTGGACAAGTTGACTCTGGAAAAGAGGGACACTTCTCCTGATAGAAGAAGAAGAGGAAATAGTGCAGATGGAGTGTTTTGAACTGGAGAGGGATAGATGAAGCTTAAGTAACTGAAAACTTTAATCTCTAAAGAGTGGTAGAGATTCAAAGGAAAGATAGGTATGTGTCTCTGCATAGGAACTGAAAGAAAACATTATCCAAGAGACTCTCAAGCATGGATTCTACTTGTTGAGTCTACTTAAAGTGAGAGCAAGAAAGGTTTATTAGGGATAGAAATAGTTCAGAATGGAAAGATGTCCAAATTCAGAGTGACAATGAGGAAGAATACAATTTCATACAGTTGATGCAGGAACTGAAAGTTACAAAATCATAATTAGGAAATTATGAAAGACAGGGGAGTCAAAGGCAGGATATCTAAAAGTGAGGATTTATCAGAGTTACCAAAAACAAAACAAAAAAGCCATACTTGTTGCTACTGAGTTGATTCTGAAACATAGCAACCCTATACAACAGTGTAGAACTGCCTGGGTTTCTGAGAGTCATTGCGGGAGCAGATAGCCTCCTCTTTCTTCCTTGCAGCAACTGGTGTGTTTGAGCCACTGACCTTGTAGTTATAGCTCAAGATGTAACCTATATGTTACCAGGATTCCTTTTCATCAGGGATAGGTGGGACATATATATGTGGGATTACGTGAGTGGGTAAGGGTACATAATTACAAGCATATGTGCTCATCAGTTTATTATAGGATGATCAGAAGACAGTAATAGAGCAACTTTTTGGGGTTACCTATAAATATTTCTTTCTCAATCGTGTGTTTCTAGGAGCTCATTTAAAGATGTATCAATTCTGTTATGTATCAAGACCCTTTGGGTATAGTCTATCCCCTTTTGCATCTGTTAGACCATAGTACAAAGACCCTTTGGGAATAAATTGTGATATATCCTACACCTGGGGGTGTGGGGGAATGTCTTCTTAGATATATGGTTATGTCTGCATCAAGGTTAGACCAGCATCAAGGTTAGAGGATCTGTGGTTAGAAGAGGCAGGTTTTAAAATTCAACATGGATTCCAGACTCATGTCAAGACTTCATCTCTTTCTCTATCTACTATCTATCTATCTATCTATCTATCTATCTATCTATCTATCTATCTATCTATCTATCTAATCTATTCAGACTGCTTTATTTACACTACAAAGTGCCTACTTTTAAACAATCTTACAAGGAGTTTTTTTCCAGCAGAAGGGAACAGCCAATGTAAAGGACATAAGATTGGGAATGTTGGTGTAATCAAGAAACAACAAGTAGAGGCAACCGTGGCTGGATTTGAGCAAGTTAGAAGGAGAGACTGAGAAGAGATGAGATAGGTGAATGGGTATGGTTGTGCAGGGCATAAGATGCCTGAAAAGACTTTGAATTATTGCAAAGTTTGAGCAGTGATATGATCCAAAAATATCTTAAAAGGCTCTTGTTTGCTGCTGTGTTGAGACTAGACTGTAGGTGTGATAGGTAGGTTTGTTGTGCCAACCTGACCAATAGGAACATATGAGATTTATCAGGTCGCAGTTTGATTGGAGGGCAAAGAGATAAGTGGCTTGGCAAGGCCTGCCCCTCGCTCTCTTGCTCTCTGGTGATTGGACCAGCATTTGGCTGTTTTATCTAGTTCTCTGCCTCAACTTGTGAGCTACACTACCTGTGGGACAGCCAACCTGTAGATTGTGTTGCTAGAGCTTGAGGTTCCTTCAAGACCTGCTTTGCCATATTGCTATTGTGTACATTACTTGAGCTTGAGGCTGGTGGATCCTGTCGTCTTGCATAGCTTGAGTTTGATATCCTGTCTGGCCTGCTTCGCTGAGCTCCTGAGCTGTTGACTGTTGGTGACCCATCTTGCTGTTTGCTGCCTGTGGGTGGACTCTGCCTGCATTGCCTGAGGGAAGACTCAACTGTCTGCTTCCCTGACCTTGGACCCAGAGCCCTCGTGAGTTAAAGGACTTGCAGTATATTAACTGTTCCACGGAAGTGAGTTGAACTGAACCCTCTGTATTCATGTGTGGACTAATTAGCTGTTGTACTCCTTTGTGCTGTATAAATCTATCTGTCTGTCTGTCTGTCTGACTATCTATCTATCTATCTATCTATCTATCTATCATCTATCTATCTATCTATCTATCTATCTATCTATCTATCTAGCTAGCTATCTATCTGTCTATCTATCATCTATCATCCCCCTATCTATCAATCATACGTGCCCTGGTTTTGTTTCTCTAGAGAACCCTGCCTAACACAATAGGGTACCAGGAAGAAGCTGGAGACCCTTGTAGCAATCCAGGGGAGAAGATGGTAGCTTGGACTTGAGTGGCAGCTGAGGATGTGGGAGCAGTGTTCAGTGATGTGCATGAATTGAAGATGGCATTAGAGTAGGATTGATGGGTGAACCTGGAGAAGGAACATGTTCACATGTGGTGGAGGATAGCTTAGCGGGGCAGGACAAATTTGTCCTAGGGGAAAGGGGCCCTGTGGAAGGCTGTCTTCAAACAGAAGTCTTGATGGCCTACACAAAGCAGGTGGAGACAGAGTTTGCCTGGCCTGTCCATATGCTGAGCCTGATAGCTGCTAGCCAATACCATTGTTTCCTTCCCCTAAAGCAGGAATAATGCTCCCTAGCTGAGAGTTTGGGGAAAAGAAGCTGGTGGCTTTAGATGAGCAAGGTATGAGTTCCAATTGATTGTTAATGGCTGGGCCAAAATCAAACCCATTGTTGTCAAGTTGATTCTGACTCTAGGCCACCCTCTATTGGGTTTCCAAGGCTGTACATCTTTATGGGAGCAGACTGCCTCATTTTTCCTGCTGTGGAGTGTCTGATGGGTTTGAGTCACTTGTCGGTGGTTAGCAGCCCAGTGCCTAAACCCACAGTGCCACAAGGGCTCTTGATGACGAGAGCAGCCTCTGAAAAAGAAGTACAGGGCCGTGTAAATTGGAGGGTGCCCAGAGGTTGCACAATCCCTTTAAAGTGTTGAAAAGCAAGAATGTCACTTTGAAGACTCTAGAGTAGTGGTTCTCAACCTTCCTAATGCTGCAACCCTTTAGTACAGTTACTTGTGTTGTGGTGACTCCCAACCATAACATTATTTTCGTTGCTACTTCATAACTGTAATTTTGCTACTGTTATGAATCGGGTGACCCCTGTGAAAGGGTCGTTCGACCCCCCAAAGGGGTTGCGACTCACAGGTTGAGAACCGCTGCTCTAGAGTGTGTCTGATCCAAGCCAGCGTGTTTCAGTCACTTCATATGCATGTGAACGTTGGACACCGAGTAAAGAAGACCATAGAAGAATTGATGCATCTGAATGACGGTGCTGGTGGATAATATTGGAAGTACCATGGATAACCGAAGGAACAAGCAGATCTGTCGTGGAAGAAGTACAACCAGTGTGCTCCTTTGAGGCAAGGATGGTGAAACTTAGTCTCACGTACTGTGGACATGTTATCAGCAGAGACTAGTTCTTGAAAAAAGATAGCATGTTAGTAAAGTTGAGGAGCAGATTTGACACAGTGGCTGCAACTGGTGTCAAACATAAAAAACGATTATGAGGATGGCTCAGGACTCAGTGTGTTTCATTCTGTTGTACATCAGGTCACTATGAATCATAACAAACTCAAAGGCACTTAACAACAAAAGTAGGTGGTTTAGCTTGCTGTGAGGCCTTACAAGATGTTAGATGGATGGCAGAGGAGTGCGGATAGTCTAGGGTTCCCTGTTGCTCTCAGTGCCTTCCAAGCTGATCAGGTTCAAGTTTCAGTGCTAGCCAGAGTTCTATTTTCATATTTATTGTGTTTCCTATTTATACTATAACTCAAATGTTCCTAGTATCTGATGCCCTAGAGCAGTTATTCCCCACCCCCAGCCCCATAACCTCAGTGTTTCTAGCAATTAGGGGTGATATTGTAATGTGTTTTTATAGATAAAATGCTATAATTACATTATTTTTCAGCTTTCAAGAACCTCCTTTATTGGTTGGTGTTCTGGAGCCAAATACAAAGTTACGACAGGCCAAACGATTATTTGAAAATCAACTTATTGGACCAGAATCCATTGCACATATAGGGGGTAGGTATATCCTGGGCCTTCCAAGTCTGCTGCTGTGGGGTCTGTCAGGTTGTCTGTTGTTGTGAGGGTGGGTTATATGTGAGCAGCCCATGAGGGCTGCTGCTCTTGCTCTTGGTGGGCAGAGGAGTGAGGAACAGTGACAAGGATATTCAGAACGACATCTCCTCTGCCCACCAAGAGCAAGAGCAGCAGCCCTCATGGGCTGCTCACATAGCCTGGATAGCCTTCTTGGCTCCAGGAATGCTTCATAGCACGCGCACTGTTCCACAGGATTATTCTCACTGGCCTGTTCATTCTCAGTGTTCTTCTTCAAAGTTGCAGGGCCATTCTAGTATCGGCGGTTTAGAGTATATTGTTTTGAAGTACTTCATTCTGTTTAAACTGTTGGGCCCATGAAAATGAAATGGAAAAAGCGGAACACAAGCAAAACCCAACAAACCCAAACCCACTGCCATTGAGTAGATGCTAACGCATAGTAGCCCTGTACAGCAGGGTAGAACTGCTCCTGTGAGCTTTTGAGACTGACACTCTTTATGGGAGTAGAACGCCCCGCTCTCTCCTGGAAATGACTGCTAGTTCCAAACTGCTGACCTTGCAGCTCACCCAATATGTAACCACTACATCATGGTTATTAATTGATTTATCAACGTTTATCAGGATATTATTGCACAGTGGTTTGTCTTTCTATGGATATCATTTTGAAATGGAAATGAATGGTCCTCAATCTTCCTTCCCACTGTTGTTTGTTTGTAATGCTCACTTTGGTAGGTCCATTTACGGGTACATTCAGGCTAACCATCTGTTTCACACTTCATACTAAGAACCAGAATTGGATCTGATTCTAAAGTTTGAGTCTCTAGCAATGAGCAGCAAGGCATTTTTTTTACCTGCTAAAATAGGAATGAAGGTTAGGATTTAAAAATAAAGTTTACAGACTTAAAATGGTGTAGGGATTTATGAGCAGCTTATTTTGACATGCTCCTCGTCATTCTGAAATTATCAGTGATATTGATATATATCCAGTTTCCTATGTAGATGGTCTCTGACTTATGACATTCAATTATGATTAATCGCACTTAAGGCTCTCTGTGTGTGTGTACCTTATCCTTAGAAATATGTACTACACACAGTTATAAAATAGATCTATAATTTTATATGTAATGCTTCCAACCCCCAAAGATTAATCAGGATCAGATTTATAAAAGTAAATAAGAATGAAACCTGAAACAAAAAAGATATTTGACTTGTTTCAGAACCAACTTCAAACAGAATGGTCAGAGCAGAGCCTGTTGTAAGCTAAGGGCTGTCTGTATTTCTTTTTAAAGGCGGTCAGTAGTCACCCCTCTGGCTGTATTTGACCACCTTCTTCCTAGCGCTTACTATTTGACACACGATCTGAAGTATCTCTGTAGATTTTTATTTTTGGCACAGGGGCTGTGTTTCAAAAGGGAGTTCTGTTTCATAATATTGGATGCTTATTAATAGAACTTTTAATTTTATGTTAAAAGGAAATATATACTCTATTAGTAAGTCACATATATATGTTTTCTTGTTGGATAAAATTAAATATTAACTTTTAACACTGGAACCTACAGGAGTGAAATGTTGCCAATGCTCTTTTCCTCTCAGAGAGTGTTCTTTTCTTTTCTCACTTGGCCTGACTTCTCATACTTCTTCACCAGCCCTTGTGGTTTTCTTTCCCCACACTGAGGGAACGACTTGTCCTCTTGTTGGCACTTTTGGAGAGGCGCTGTGGGGTTTCCCGGGTTACCTCACTGTGCGTGTGATCTGCAGGCCTCCTAAGGCTCTCTTGCTGCTCCAGCCTAGTTTGGACACTGCCACGGTGAGTGGGTAGTGTGATTCCGGCAGTGGCGGGGGAGATACTAGCCTCAGAGGATAGCACATGGGGTGAATAATCATGCTTTAATTTTATCTTGAAGGACTTTTACTTGTGTATAACTAACATTAGCAGCAGATACTGATGTGCAGCCAACATGGCGGCGTGGCATGTCAGGAGCCCTGCTCGCTCTAGAAAATGGACAGTCCCCCTAGTTTACTGTCATGCGCTAGAGTTACTGCAACCATACTCTTGAGTACGGCCCTGCCCTCTATACCAATTCCCCAGCCCATGAACTTCCATGGCGTTTTTTGTTTTATTTTCTCTAGATAACACTTATCCTCAGAACTGCTATTTTTCTCTGAAGACAAGAGCAAGAACAGGCCACCTCTGTTGTGGAACAGTGTGCTATAGTTCTGTAGCCTACCCCTATAATGCTTTTGTCGGTTTCATTTTTAAACAGATGTCGTGTTTACTGGCACAGCAGATGGCAAGATTGTGAAACTTGAAAATGGTGAGGTAGAGATAATCGCTCGATTTGGCACCGGCCCATGCAGTAAGTTGTTAATGTGCCCCCATGACTTAACGTCTCCTTCCGTCATGCAGAGAGCTATCAGATGCACCCTAGGAACAGACAAGACCTCTGACCACTGGTCTTAGGCCTTGTGGTTGCAACTTCCTACCAGTCAGGGTATTGGTACCTGCTTGCTCTTCTTGGGGACCTACCACTTAACCATTTGGGCCCTGATGGAGACTAGGAGAAAACTATTGGGTGTTGTTATCAGAGTTCTGTGTATAAAAGTAATTAGCTCTGCCATTATTTAGATGCTTAAGTGTAATTCCTGCATTAGTGTCTGAGGAATTTCAGTCTCATTCAAAGGGTATTTAAAAACTAGAGCAGATAAACAAAACAAAACAGAACTAACTGCCATTGAGTCAATTCTGGCCCATGGCAACCCTATAGGACAGGGTAGAACTGCCTCTGTGGGTGTCCGAGACTGTAACTCCTTACGGGAGTAGAAAGCCCTGTCTTTCTCCTGTGGAGTGCCTGGTGATTTTGAACTGCAGACTTTGTGGATCTTTGCCCAATGTGTATAACCATGCACCATGTAGTGACATTAGTGATAATGACTATATTGTAAAACTATTCTCATTGTTGCCACAAGTTTTTTTTAATCACTACAAATAAACTCAGCAGTAACCCTTAAGCAGTAACTTTCTTTTCCTTCTTCTGCCTAGCACTTGATGCCACTAATAATTTTTGTCTTTATGCCTTGCCTACTCTAGTTGTTGCACATCAGTGGAATCATAAAATGTTTGCCCTTTTAGGTCTGACTTATTTCACTCAACATAATATTTTCAAGGTTTGTCCATGTCTCAGGACTTCATTTTACTTTATGGCTGAATAATTTATTATAGCATACTTCCTATATTTTATTCTTTCATCTGGTAATAGTCACAGATGACTTATTAGCTATCATTTATTAATAGCTGGAATGTTTTATGAAAATATACTCAACAGAAAGATACAAAAATAAAGCAGAAGTTATCTCAGAGTCCTCACCTCATAGCTGTTATTAATATTTTAGTGAAAACACACACATATATGGCTCTTTTCTCCACTTCCTATTTTGGCACTAAATACCTAGCAGAAGCCAGTTCAGTATCTGGCAGTAAAAATGCATTGCCACAGCGTTAGACAATGCTGAGTAACGGAGCAGGAGAATGAACGCGAGGAGTAGGGTAGCACCTCTTCATTTATGTTGGTGGGGACAAGCAAGGGCACCCTTCAAGCTGGCACTGAGTTTTCAGGTCAGGTTGTGGAGTTTAAAGTCCCAATAGAGGATTCCAGGGTCAATCCAGGCCAGTCCTGATTGTATCCTCTGAGGTAACCATTCCATCCGCAGATGCAGGCTCTTAGGCAGAAGTCTGCCCCAGTCTGCCTCAGTCTACCCTTCTGAGGAGGGTGGACTATTAGATGTGGTCCTTGCCAGTGTTAATGCCAGAGTCTTTTAGTTCAATAAGAGCTCACGTGATATGTATTTATGAAGGAACCGGTGTTTGGGGCGTGGTGGCAGGTGGGGGTGGGGTGGGGAGCTAGGCATGTATAGAATCTTGGAACAGCTGTTGATTCCTGTCTCTTTGTTGTCCTAGAATCCCGAGATGATGAGCCTGCCTGTGGGAGACCCCTTGGCATTCGGGCAGGGCCCAACAGGACTCTTTTTGTGGCTGATGCCTATAAGGGACTATTTGAAGTAAATCCCTGGAAACGTATGTGAAATCATTTTGAATTCTCTTGTGATGATTTCAGACAAAATGTACATAGAAGTTGTTAAAAATGCAGTCTTAGTAGTAATGAGACCATTGCCTCCAAGTGATAGCTAGTAGTAGCACCCCGTAACTCCTGCCCGTGAGTGACAGCAATTATATGCCTTCTTTTTTTCTGACATTTGTGCTTTAGCCACAGTCTCAGATGGGCAAATTTTGGAGAGTGTGAACATTTATCTCTCTGTCTTTTCTGTTTATCTTCTGTCTTCTCCTGTTTCCTTCCCCTTGGCCTCTCTCACTCTTCATTTTTCATTTCTCTAGTTCCTCCTGCTCTCTTCCCCAATTGGCCATGTTACCTTGTGCCAGTGCTATCCTATTTATTTAGTCTTTATCCTATTTATTGTTTATTCTTTGTTTATTGTTTCTTAAGAGGGTTTACATGAGATTTCTTGGAAAAAACTCAACTTAATAGCCCATTGCTATTGAGCATTTCAATCTCCTAGCAACCCTATAGGAAAGAGAACTATCCATAGGGTTTGTAAGGTAATTGGTACAGAAGTATATTGCCACATATTTCTTCTGTGGTATTGCTGGTGGGTTCAAACCATCTACCTCTTGGTTTGCTACTGAGAGCTTACCCAGTGTTCCATCAGGGCTCTTGGAAAATGCTTGTTCTTGTTAGGGGCTGTCAGGTCAGCTCTGACTCATAGTGACCCTATGTCCAGTGGAGTGAAACACTACCTGGTCCTGTGCCATCCTCACAGTGTTCCTTTGAGCCCACTGTTGCAGCTACAGTGTCTACCTGTTTTGCTGCGGGTCTTCTTCTTTGCTGATGTTCTGCTTGACCAAGCATGATTCCCTCGTCTAAGTATTAGTTTCTCCTGATGACATGTCCAAAATATTTGAGATGATGTCTAGCTAATCTTGCTTCTCAGGAGCATTCTGAATGGCTACACTTTTCCTAAGATAAATTTATTTGTTTGTTCTACCCACATGACATCACTACTCCCACTACTGTTCCTGAGGAGGGATTTATCTGTCCTGAATTCCAGAGCTCTTATCTGTATCAATGTGTGTTCTCCCGTCTAGCCAGATTTGTAAGGTAGACCTGAGTTATGGTAGTGGGGAGGAAGCATTCAGGAACTAGAGTAGTGGTTCTCAACCTGTGGGTCACAACCCCTTTGGGGGTCTAACGACCCTTTCACAGGGTTTACCTGATTAATAACAGTAGCAACATTACAGTTATGAAGTAGCAATGGAAATAATTTTCTGGTTGGGGGGTCACCACAACATGAGGAACTGTATTAAAGGGTCATGGTATTAGGAAGGATAAGAACCACTGAACTAGAGGAATGATGTGTGTTTTGTCAGTGCTATACTGTACCCTGGTTGAATCATCCCTTCTTTGTAACCCTTCTGTGGGGATATATCCAGTTGCTTACAGAGGGGCTTTGGGTCTCTACTCCAACCCCTTGTTTGCATCAATATAGTTGTTTGCCCTTAAGGCTTGGCACTCTGGGATTTGGTCCGGTTCCTCTCTCCCTTTCCTGTGGAGACATAAACAATACCCTCCCCATGTGTGTATTAGTGCTCTGTTCCCTATCACCCTCATTTTTTTTCCCTTTTTCTTTCCCCTCTTTCCCCCTCCTTTTTAGTTGGCTGCCATATGCATCCCTGAGTTGGATAAGACCCCTGCCAAAGTGCCTGGAGCGCAACCTGGGATTTATGCATTAACTAGCTTATCTTCTATGCAAGTGGTTCACGACCTGTGGGTCGAGACCCCTTTGGGGGTCAAACGACCCTTTCACAGGGGTTGCCTGATTCATAACACTAGCAAAATTATAGTTATGAAGTAACAACTAAAATAATGTTATGGTTGGGGGGGTCATCACAACATGAGGAACTGTATTAAAAGGTCGCGGCATTAGGAAGGTTGAGAATCACTGCTCTATGCCCTTTGTACTTTTTTGAACTTAACCTCAGTGGACTCATGTTGTACTTGTCCCTTTGTGCTTGGCTAACTTCGCTTAACATAATTTCATCCAACTCTTCCCATGAGGCAATGAATTTCATGCATTCATCTCTGCTTTTAGGGCTGCATAGTACTCCACTGAATCTATATACCAGAGGTTTTAAATTCATTCATCAGTTGATGGACATTTAGATTGTTTCCATGTCTTCCTCGATTTTGAACATTGGCACACATATTTCTGGTCTTGGGCTGTTTCTTACTTCTTCTAGGTGTCTGCCTAGTAGGGGGATTGCTGGATCATTTGGTAGTTATATTTCCGTTTATTTTAGTATCACCAGATTGATTTCCATAGTGGCTGCACGTATCTACAGGACCACCAGCAGTGGATGAGAATACTTATCTCACCACACCCTTTCCAGCACTTATTGCTTTCTGATTTTTTGAATTGGGCTGTCTTTGAGGGTATTAGGTGGTATCTCATAGTTGTTTTAATTTGCATTTCCCTTATGGCTAATGATCAGGAACATTTTCTCATATGTTTATTGGCTATTCGGATTTCCGCCCTTGTGAAACTTCTGTTCAGGTCTTTTGCTCACTTCCTCAGTGGGCTCTTTGGTTTCGTTCTTGTTGTAGGCCAGCAGAGTATTGCATATTTCAGTAATAAGCCCTTTGTCTGATGTGTCATGTTTTCCCAGACTGTGGGCTCTCTTATTACTCTTGGCAAAGTCTTTCGATGTGCACAGGTGTGTTATCTTCAGTATATCCCACGTGTCAATTTAAATGCCTTTTCATAGTCAATAAAACACAAGTAAACACAATAAAACACAAGTAAATGGATCTGCTCAGCCCCATTTGATGTCAACATTGATAATCCAGTAATGATATCCCTCATTCCATGTCCACTGGAGAATCTCGCTTGAATTTCTTGAACTCCTTTGATGAAGTATTGCAACTATTCTATAATTATCTTCAACAAAATTTTACCTGCCTGTGTATTTATATTATTATTCAATAATTTCTATATCCTATTGGGTCACCTTACTTTGGAATGAGCAACAATATGAAGCTCTTATAGTTGGTTGGTTTAGGTAGCTCTCTGCTGAATATCTTGGCATAGACTAGTGAATGCCACTGCTGCATAAGCTTATCGAAACATTTCAGTTGGTATTCCATCAATTTCTAGAGCCTGGATTTTTTTTTGCTAATGCTTCAGGTACAGCTTCGGCTTCTCCATTCAGTATCATTGGTTCTTGATCCTATGCTCCCTCTTGAAATGGTTGAATGTCGATCGATTCTTTTTGGTGCAGTGACCGTGTATTCCTTCCATCTCCCATTGATGCTCCCTGCACCATTCAATATTTCACCCATGCTGTTGAGAGGTTCTAACTTAAGAGTGACCCTGGGTACAGCAGAACGGAACACTGCCTGGTCCTGTACCATCACAATTGTTATTTTTGAGCCAATTGTTGTAGCCTGTTTGTTGAGTCATCTCCTTGAGGGTCTTCCTAATTTTTTTTGCTGACCTTATACTTTACTAAGCATGAAGGTTTTTTCCAAGAACTAGTATCTCCTGATAACATGTCCAAAGAATGTGAGGTGAAGTCTCACCATCGTCACTTCCAAGGAACTTTCTGTAGTCCACAGTGCTCTTTTGCCTATAAAATATTCCAACTCGAGGCTTTAATTTAGTCTTCAGTTCTTGAAGCTTGAGAAATGCCAATCATGCTCTTCCCTTTTTTTTCCTGATTCCAGCTTTTTGTACATTTCATTATCATTCTTTACCTTGTCTTTTCAAACTGCCCTTTGAAATCTTCTGTTTCAGCCTTCACTTCACTTCTTTTGTTTACTTTAGCTGCTCTGTGCTCAAGAGCAAGTCCCTTCTGACATCCAGTTTGGCCTTTGTTCCCTACCTTTGTAATAACTTGCATTTTTTCATGTATGATGTCCTTGATGTTATTCTTCTACTCCTCTGGTCTTTATGAGTCGCACTCAGTGGGATCGGTCTGTTTCTGCAATGACATTTTGATTGAGGCAGGTTATATTCAAGGCTATGCTTTTGCGCTTTGGCTTGCATTGGTTTTCTTTAACTTCAGTTTGCGCCTTGTATACGAGCAACTGAGGCTCTGTTCTGCAATTGGTTCCTGATTTTGTCTTAAGTCAGTGGTTCTCATCCTTCCTAATGCCGCGACCCTTTAATACAGTTCCTCATGTTTTGGTGACCCCCCCAAACATAAAATTATTTTCGTTGCTACTTCCTAACTGTAATTTTGCTACTGTTATGAATCGGGCGACTCCTGTGAAAGGGTCATTCGACCTCCAAAGGGGTCGTGACCCACAGGTTGATTGCACAGTTGATCTATTTCAGACTCCAGCAGATTAGAAAGCCCTTCTATTTCTTTATCTTAAGCATGCATGGTTTGTATGGAAATTTAAATAAAGGTCATATTAACCGATAACATGGTACTTCAAGATAGATTGCGAAAAAATTTTTTGACAGTGAGTACAATTCCATTCCTCTTTAATTTGGTATTCTTGGTGTATATGATTGTTGGGTTCAAATTGTCCATTCTCAGTCAATTTTAGTTCACTAATGCCTGATATATTGATCTTCAAGCATTTGCCTTATTTCATTTTTCATAACCTGAATTTTTCTTGAGTCATATTTTGTACACTCCATCTTCTGATTACTAACAGAGGTTTAAAGCTGCTTCGTTTCATTTTGAGTTGTGCCACATCGACATGGAAATAGAGAAGTTTTTATTCCAACTACATCATGAAGGCTGACTGTACTCCTGGCAAGTAGCTCTTTTTCAATTGAGTGCCTTCTAAACGTTGGGGCTCATTGTTCAGCATGCTATCAGACAATGTTCTGTTGTTAGCCATGAAGTTTTCACTGGCTGATTTTCACCACCAGTCTGTATGTTTGCTGTATTGTTGTGACTTGGAAGTTTTATGATACTAGAAGCTATGCTACTGCTACCTCAAATATACTAAGTTCACCCATGTTGGGCAGGTTTCTACATCAATTCCAAACAAAAACAGGGTAGGAAAAAGACCTGGTCATCTGTTTCTGATAATTGGCCAATGACAACCTTATTGATAGCAACAAATCCAATACCACTTATTCCTTATTTTAAAAGTAGATGAGTGGACATTTTCTGTTTCTCTCAGGTATACTCCTAAACCAAATCTATTGTCATCCAACTCCTAGTGACCCCCTAGGGCAGAATAATAAAGCCTCACGGGATTTCCAAGGCTGTAAATCTCTCTGGAAGCTGACTGCCACATCTTTCTCCTATAGAGTAGCTGGTGGGTTCAAACTTCTAACCATAAGGTCGCAGTTAAGTGCTTAACCACTGCATTATCAGGATTTCTTCTCAAGCATAGAAATAGAACTAAATTGCCTTTGACCTAGGTTACTTTAATAACCTTTTAAGTCATTTGACCTCAATAGAATAAAAACCTCATCCTTAGAGGAAGCAATTCTGCCTTTCAAAATGTTAGTGTAAACAGATTCATTACCTATCAAGTAATACACTTTTTTTTTTAACTGTAAGAAGGAATGGCAACATGGAGAAGCTCATCATAACTTTTCTATTTTAGCCAATTATGTTGATTAATATTTGGAAATTAGTGAAAAACAAGTTCTTTAAATGAAAGCAGGACTTTTTTTATTTCCCTTTTTAAAACTCAGGTGAAGTGAAAATACTGCTATCTTCTGAAACACCTATTGAAGGAAAGAAAATGTCCTTTGTTAATGATCTTACAATAACTCAGGATGGGAGGAAAATTTACTTTACTGATTCGAGCAGCAAATGGCAAAGACGAGACTATCTACTTTTGGTCATGGAGGGGACAAGCGATGGGCGGTAAGTATTGAGGGCCTTCTACTCATTTTGTTCAAGCAGGTAAACTTCAGCAGAGTTTGTTACTTCTACGAGAGCTTAGAATGGTTCTTAAGATAGAACCTTCTGACTTCTGGAGACAAGTGACAGAAGAAATAGAGTAAGGTAGCCTCCTCACCTTCACTTTGAAGACATAATATTAAATAGAACTGTAACCATTTCTCCATATGATGAATAGCTCTTTAGGGGTTTTCATATCGAGAAATTTCATATTCTTTAAGGGTTTACCTAGTGAGTAGACCAACCCGGAAATTGCCCTGCTATAGGGAGTTAAAATTCTGCCTGTGTATAGTGTTTACTGTTTCACACAGTGTAGTTTAGTCTGCTTTCTGGTTTCTGGTTGCCTGCTAATGAAGCTTTATAGCCTTGGGGCAGCCTGAAGAGGCTGGGTAAGACTTTAGTGTGGGGGATGAACAGGAAGGAGGGAAAAGGGAAATTCTTAGTGCTTGGTCTACCAGCGGTTCTCAACTGGTGGGTTGCGATCCCTTTGGGGGTCGAGTGACCCTTTCACAGGGGTCGCCTAAGACCATCCAAAAGTACATATTTCCGATGGTCTTAGGAACCAAGACACCGCTTCTCTATCTGTCTCCAGGCGGGTCTGCCCACGTGCAGATATGCCCACATACAAGTACCTGGCATGAAGACTGTTACCCATGTTACACCATGCTTCAAGACAAAATTTAATTTACTTGTAATTAGAAATAAATATTTCACAATATATAATTACATATTGTTTTTGTGATTAATCACTGTGCTTTAATTTTGTTCAATTTGTAACAATGAAAATACATCCTGCATATCAGATATTTACATTGCGATTCATAACAGTAGCAAAATTATAGTTATGAAGTAGCAATGAAAATAATTTTATGGTTGGGGGGTCACCACAACATGAGGAACTGTATTAAAAGGTAGAGGCATTGGGCAGGTTGAGAACCACTGGTCTAGAATATATGCCAGACTGCCCAGGATCCTGAATACTTTCTGTCTCTGCCCCTAGTCCATTTGTACTTGAGGTGAATGTAGGCGTCTGGACACACAGAGGGCATGGGATTCTGAACTGAAGAATTTGTATGGTCAGTGTGGTGTATCCCTGGGTTTGATGACGTACTGGCTTATCTGCTGGGAACCATTTCTGAGACAGAGTGTGACTGGCAAGGCTGGCTTCCTTCCTCAGAGATAATAGTCCTTATTTGGGAAGATGCATCCTCCTAGAGACAAGGTTTGAGATTGTTGAAAAGAGGCGCACGATGACAGGAGTTTGGAACCAGTTCTTATCTGTGTCTATTTAAATAGTCTAGCCTGCTAAGAGACACTAGCATCCACCTTAGGGGGTTCCTGCCATGGTTTCTGCTACTTCTAAAATTCTCTGAAACCACACTGACTTCAGCCACTGTCATCCTCACCCGCAGGAGAACAACCCACTATTCTCAGCTTAAGACCTTGGACCTTACATGGTCCAAGAGATGAAGAGTAGAACAAAGCATACATTAAATAAAACTGCTGCCTCTTAGTAGTGTGTACTTTATCACAGAAAGTGTATGCAGGCAGGGGTTGGGGGTGCGCAGCCCCTCTACCTGGTGTTCCCAAGACAGCCTGGCTATTAGCTAGCCCAATGGAGTTGTGCTTATTGGTAGTAAAAGAGAGACCCTATAGATGGACTGCCTTCAGACTGATCCTCAGGAGGTGAAGGGATAGGGTTCTTGTAAGGCTGGAGCCCTGATAGCCCTTCCTGGTGCACAGCTGACTCCTGAGACAGTGAGAGAGTTGGTTGTAGGATACGAGGTCGACCTTGGATGTAGGGGGAGCTCCATGGACTCACTCTTTACCCCAGTGTGAGACTGAGGTACTTGAAGACCCAGTATGGAAACACAACTTCAGACTAGTGGGAGACCTTGGGGTGTCCTCAGTTGGTGACCCTCAACTTTTGTGCTTTCTCAGCCTGCTAGAATATGACACCGTGACCAAGGAAGTCAAGGTCTTAATGGACCAGTTGCAATTCCCTAATGGAGTCCAGCTTTCTCCGGCAGAGGACTTTGTCTTGGTGGCAGAAACGACCATGGCAAGGATCCGAAGGTGAGTGTAGGAGCAGAGTTGGGTCTTCCCTTGACTGACAGAGCCCGGGAGACGGCAGGACTCCTCTTCTTTGAGCGGTCACTCTCTCCAGGGATGTGTGGTTCCTTACCCACCTCTCAGGGTCTCAGTGAGGCAGTCTGTGAGCACTGCCTAGCCTAATGCTGAGGATGACGGCCCATCCCTGCTGCTCTGAAGGCCTTTCGCCTCTGCCCCACCACGGTCCAATGCTCATGAAGGCCTCTGTACTGTGTGCTTTCCTAAACTTGATCTGGACTTAATAACAATCTCATGTTTGGCTAAAACTTTTGCATTAAATTGTTAGTCTCCTACTTAATACATATTTGGGTGAATTTTTCAGATTCTATGTTTCTGGTCTGATGAAGGGAGGGGCAGATATGTTTGTGGAAAACATGCCTGGATTTCCAGACAACATCCGGCCCAGCAGCTCCGGAGGATACTGGGTTGGCATGGCAACGATCCGCCCTAACCCTGGATTTTCCATGTTGGATTTCTTATCTCAGAGACCTTGGATTAAGAAAGTAATTTTTAAGGTAACTAAAAACTATAATTCCCCAAACAAAGTGAAAATGCATCTAATTAAAAGCTTGTTTGACATTTATGATCCTACAAAATCAAAATTTTGCTTTTATTAATATTATTATTAATTTATTTTTGGTGAAAATATACATGGCACAACCTATAGTTCCACAGTTTGTGGAATGATCAGTGACAATTGGTTGTATTTTTCATATTGTGTCAATATTTTTGTTATTTCTACTAGTTGTTTTACATCCATTTACTAAATCTCTGTCTTTGATCAACCATCCCATCTATGCTTTAAAATAGCTTTTGACCTTTGGTCTTATATAGATAATATATGTGTGTTTATAAATAAGGGTGACAATCTTTACTCTTTACTTAGCATATAGGTTACTTTAGGTGGGCTAGTTTCAGTTCTAGGTTTGAAGAGCAATGCAGAATTATAGTCTCTGAGACTCCTCCTCCATCACTAGGTACAGTAAGTCTGGATTTTTAAGAATTTGAAATTGTGTTGTACATTTTCCTCCCTTTATATCAGGATTCATATATTGTGTTCCTGATCTGAGCATTCAGAGTGGTAGCTAGATACCATCTAGTTCTGGTCTTATGGTAGAAGAGACAGCGGTTCATCTAGATAATTAGACCTGTAATCCAGTTCATTTTCTAATTCTTTCCCTTTTCTTCCAGGTCAATAAGGACCAATAATTATATCTTAGATATGTCCTCTAAGCATGTAATATGCCAGACACTAGCATCATACTGGGAGGCAAAACATAAACTTTAAGAACTTCATTATGCCAATTACTGGGTTGTCCCATGAGACCACATTCCTAGGCCCCTAAACCAAGAGAACTAATACCATTTTTTGGTGGTGGTGATTGTTGCAAAACCATATTTAGCATGTGCACATAAATCCCTGTATAGCTTATTGACATCAGTCATGTTTATTGGTAGTCACCCATATCCAGTGCCACCTTGCCTATTGTTATAAATGTAAAGTGACTACTACCTAAGGAGTACTTTTTCCTCATCCCTCCTCCACCTCAACCTCTGATGAACTTTGCTTTCTATGTATTATTCATGTCTTTTTGTGCCTGATGCATTTTGCTCAATATAATGTCCTGCAGGTTCAAATCCGGGTCGCAAGATGTTTGGGGAACTTGGATTTTTTTTATTGCAGAGTAGTAGTCCAGTGTGTGCCTGCACCACATTTTACTTCATCCATCCATCCATTCATTGGTGCACACTTAGGTTGTTTCCGTCTTTTTGCTGTTGTGAATAGCTACAGTAAACCTAAGTGTGTATTGTCATTTCTGATACATTTCTAGTGTATATAGGGCAGGAGTAGAAATGCTGGGTCATATGGCAACTCTATCTGTAGTTGCTTGAGGATGCCCCAGACTGTTTGCCACAATTTTCAACCAGCAATGGATGACTGTTCAAATTTCTATAGATCGCCAACGTGTTATTTTCCATTTTTGTTTTTTAAATCATCACCTTCCTAGTAGGAGGGAAATGGTATCTCATTATGGTTTTGGGTTTTCTGATGGCAAGTGTGTTGGACTACTAACTGCAAGGTCAGCAGTTCAAAACCACCAGCTCCTCCACAGGAGAAAAATGGGGCTTTTCCTCCCATAAAAAATTACAGTCTCCAGGGGTGCCTCTCTATAGTAGCGTGGAGACAGCCGCTTGCACAGAAGAAGAGATGGAACTTTAGGAATGGTTTTCTACAGTAAAGTCACATTCTAGAAAAAAAAAAAATTACAGTCTCAGAAACTCACAGGGGCAGTTCTACCCTTGTTTATAAACCGAGTCAATTTGATGTCAATGAGTTTGGACACTTGACAGTGGGGTTGGAGATTAAGGCTAGACTTTTATTAATGCTCTTTCACAAAGGCAAAGAGAGTCATTTCAGCCTAGGCACAGGGGAGTATTTCATTTTCTTTAATCTGCTACCAGTGTGTTTAAGCTAAAATCCACTTTGCTTACTAGGAGTTCCAAATTGAATGCTTGTAGCTTAGTCTAAGAGGAGTGTTGTGTACCTCGAAAGGTCGGAGACTAAATTCCTGGTTGTCTGTAGTACATGGCCTGGGTCCCCTAGGGTTAAATGCAGACGAGGTCAAAAGTGTCCTCTAAGGTACAAGAGCCTGAGCTTATTCTCCCATTGGTGGCCATTCTACTTAACACTGACTGTTTTCCCAATGGCATGCTGCCCAACCCAGTTTACTATTTTGACTAAAGCTTAATCGTCTTCTCCAGGACAGACATGTGCCTTCTATCTACCCCATCAGAAATCGTGAGCGTGTTTCAACTTGTTTGCTAACCATTTGATTATTATTTTTGATGAATTGTCTGTTTATATCCTTTGCCCACTTTTAAATTGAATTAGACTCTAGACCAGGGTTCTTAACCTATGGGTTGAGACCCCTTTGAGGGTTGAAGGACCCTTTCACAGGGGTCGCCTGATTCATAACAGTAGCAAAATGACAGTTATGAAGTAGCAACAAAAATAACTTTATGGTTGGGGGGTCACCACAACATGAGGAACTGTATGAAAGGGTCACGGTTGAGAACCACTGGTCCAGAGACTAATCAATTTTAGTGACCTTTTTGAAGAACCATCTTTTTGTTATCAATTTTCTCTATTGTTTTCCTGTTTTCTATTTCTCTGATTTCTGCTTATATTTTTATTACAGTGAAACCTGTGAGAGCTTTGTTTTTCTGGGTCTCGGCAAGGTTTTCTGCCTGTGTCGGAGTACAGGCCTACCACTTCTACTGCTCTCTGGTAGTGGAAAATCCTTGCATGTGATGAAGTCTTGCTGTACTTGTCTCTTAACACTCACTCTAGCTGTACTTTCTCCAAGAAAGGTTTGCTTGTCATTTTGGCAGTCCATGCTGTTTTCAGTATACGTGTTCTCACAGGTTTCAGTAGGTGCACAACTACTTCTTGATCCATGTACAAATTCAGTGTGAGCACAATGAGAGTATTCAGGAATTCCCACTCTTCTTAAGGCTATCCATGTTTTTTTGTGATCCACACAGTCAAATGCCTTGGCACAGTCAATAAAACGCAAGTAAACATTTTTCTGGTATTCTCTGCTTTCAGTCAAGATCCATCTGATATACGTAGAGATATCCCTTGTTCTATATCCTCTTCTGAATTCAGCCTGAACCTTTGGCAACTCCCTGTCAATGTACTGCTATAAATGCTGTTGGATGATTTTCAGCAAAATTTTACTTTCGTGTGACATCAGTGATATTGTTCTGTAATTTGACTATCTGTTGGGTCACCTTCCTTTTGAATGGGTACAAATATGGATCTCTTCAAGTCAGTTGGCCAGGTAGCTGTCTTCCAAATTTTGTGGCATAGACAGTTGAATTCTTCCAGTGCTTCGTGAGCTGGTGGAAACATTTCAATTAGTAGTTCCTCAATTCCTGGAGCCTTGGATTGGCTAATTCTTTCAGTGCAGCTTGAACTTCTTTCTTCAGCACTGTTGGTTCTTGCTCATAAGCTACCTCCTGAAATGGGGGAATGTTGACTAATTCTTTTTGGTACAGTGACTCCATGTACTCTTTCCAGCTTCTTTTGATGGTTCTTGTACCAGTCACTATTTTGCCTTTAGAATCTTTCAAGATTGCAACTCTAGGCTTGAATTTTTTCTTGTGTTCTTTCAATTTAAGATACGATAAGCATGTTCTTCCTTTTTGGTTTACTAAGTCTTTGGACATTCTGTTAATATATTTGATTTTGTCTTCTCAAGCTGACCTTGGAAATAATCTCTTCAGCTCTTTGACTTTACCCTTTCTTCCATTTGCCGTAGCTATCCTTTGATTAAGAGCATCGAGTCTCTTCTAATATACAGTTTGATCTTTTCTTCCTTTCCTGTCTTTTTAATGACCTTTTGCTTTCCTCGTGAATCCTCCAAAGTTCATCAGCTCTTCTGTTATTAGTGTTCAGTGCATCAAATTTGTACTTATTTTTGAAATTCGGGTGTGATATACTCAAGGTCATATTTTGCCTCTAGTGGACTTTAAATTTTTTTTCAGCTTCAACCTGAACTTACACATGAGAAATGTATAGTCTGCCCCACAGTCAGCCCCTGACCTGATTTTAGCTGCTACTAATGAGCTTCATCACTTCCTTCCACAAATGAAGTCACTGATTTCTGTGTATTCCCTCTGGAGAAGGCCATGTGTATAGTTGCTATTTTTTAATTTCTATCACCAAGAGCATTTTTTTCCAACTACTATTCTTTCCTGTTTGTTTCAAAATTTGTGTTCCAATCGCCATTAATTATCAATGCACTATGATTGCATGTTTGATCAATTTCAGACAAAACCTTGGTAGAATTATTTAACTTCTTTTTCACTAGCTTTAGTGGTTGGTGCATAAATTTGAGTAATAATTGTATTGATTGAATTTCCTTAAATTAAAATAGATATAAAGCTATTGAGGACTGCTCTGTATTTCAAAATAGATCTTGAAATGTCCTATTGACAATGAATAGAATATTGTTCCTCTTGATGGTGTTATTCTCAGCATAGCAAACCACATGATTTTTCAGATTAAAAATGGCCAATACCAGTTCATGTCAGCTAACTACCACCTATGATATGGAATTTTATGCATTCCATTTAATTTTTGATGACTTCCAATTTTCTTAAATTCTTTCTCAGTACATTCCAAGTTCTGATCATTAATAGATTTTTGTAGCTGTTTCTTCTTACCGTGAGTTGTGCCCTGTCAGCATGTGAAGATCCCAAGGCCCCACTCCCACAGGCTTTTCTCCATTCACATCACCAGGGCTGACTCTACTTGAGAAAACAGCCCCGCCCCTCATAAGTCACATTTCCAGTGCCTTATGCCCCTAGGGACCTAGCCCTGGCCCTCTCTAATAACATTCTGTTTCCCGTCATTAAGACTTAGGTATCTGACAGTGTTTCAAAGGTATGCATAAGGTTTTCAGCAGCTACTTCCTCAGAAGTGGGCAGCCAAGTCCTGCTTCGTATTCTGTTCTTAATCTGGAAGCTCCCCTGAAACCTGTTCTCTTGGGTCATCCTTATGGCATTTGAAAAACCAGTGACATAACTTCCAGCATCACAGCAACACACAAGCTACCACAGTACAACAAACTGACAGACATGTGGTGCATAGGCATATGTAGTTAGGTTAAAATTTAACATCATTTGTTTCCTTTGACCCATTTTAAACTTGTTCTAGTTTTTATTTTCTCTTGATCTTTCTATTGAGTTTTAATTTAATTTTGCTCTTGTTTTCAGTGTTTTGCTTTTGTTTTATATGTTTTTCCTTAGGTAAATCTGTATTGGCAGTAGTTGGATTAATAGTTTGGTGTTACGGCAGGGGAGGTTGTAGGGAGATGGAACGCTAATAATTTTCAAGTACTAGAAAGAAGAAAATGTCCCAAAACTGATTGTGGTGATTTCACAACTCCTTTTAATGTGTTTAAACTATTTAATTATATGATACATGAATTATATGTCAATAAAACTTGAAATTTTAAGTCATTACATTTCATACCTATAAGAAGCTGTATTTGAAAGAGTTATATGATAGTTATATTTACAACTGTGACATACACATAAATATAACTAGCTGCTAAGGCTGCTTCTGCATTACTAAAACCTCGTGGGATTTGGCTCATTGGATTGGACATTTAGGGACACAGTGTCAGGAGGCATCCCCATTAATTGGCCGAATCGCATAGATAGTGCTTATGTTCTACGTCCTAGTTCACTTCATAGCCCTGGGTCTTCTTATAAGCTTAAGAGCAGCTGTCACAGGCATGGCCATTACCTAGTGAACCGAGGAAAAGAAAGAATCAGGAATAAGAGGATAGAGAATTCCTCCATGAACAACAGCTTCCCTATCCCGGAGACCAGAACTGGATGGTGCCGAGCTGCCATTACTGAACATTTTGATAGCTTTTATGGAAGAATCCTGATTAAAAGGAGAAGAATGCAGAAAAGAATTTCAAATTCTTTTTGGAGCCATGGAGGCTGGAGAAATGTTGGAAACTATTGATCTGAGATAATCTTTACACCTTATACCAAATGACAATGATGATAGTAACCTTAAACCCAAGCTATGGCATAGTTAAACTAGTGAAAATGCCTCCTTTGAGCATTGTGCTCTGTGGCATCACAGAAACAACAGCAACTGGAAAGACAGATAGGAACCTTAGAGGGCAGTGAACTTAGGTTACTGAGGGAGCTAGAGAAGGAGGGTGAGGATGGTTGTAAAATTTGAAGAATGTCATCAATGTCACTGTATTGGACATGTAGAAACTGCTCAACTGATGAATGTGTTCCATGTATGTTCTCAATAACAACAAAGATTAAAAAAAGAGAATCACTCTCAATAGCTGTGTATTGCTTATGGAACCAAAGCCTAGCCTTTCATCTTAGCCATGCAAAGGGTATTGAATGTCTTCTGTTCTGCACTAAGTGCATTCGGGGAAAGTGTGAAAGGCTGAGCTGCCTTGTGTGAGAAGCCACATTATATTGTATGTAAACATGTTCATTTAATCTTCTCAGATTTTTCTTACTGTTTTCTTTTTTTAACATGACTTATGTGTTCCCCAGTCTCTAACGTTTGTACCTTGCACATTTGAAATACTTTAAGCCAGGGATGGGGAATGTCCAGCCTACAGGCTGTATAAGGCCCACAAAACCGTCACTATCAGCTACCATCGTTTACCTCACCAAGGGGAAGCAGTTCCAGCCATCACATGAGGGGCAAGTTAATGACATGTTTGATGAGTATAGCCCGCAGATGATGTGATGATTAGCCAAATGGCCCTTGACAGATAAAGGGTTTCCCAACCTGAGTACAGGACTTTATGCTTTTTCCAGTTAGGTTATGCTGGTGTTGACCTAGCATTCTGAATAGGTCAAAGTTGCCCCAAACCTGGCTCCATGCCATGCCTTCCCTGGATCTGACTTAAATGGTCTATGTCCAGTAGGTTGTATCGAGAAACACTGAGGCAAGGACCTCGCGTGCTGTTGTTAGTGTATATTTGCCTTGCCCCTTGGAATGCGAGTTATAGAAAATGTCTTGAACTTATTTGCATTGTGGGTAACAGCAGTGATGGGAAACATAGTGTTAGAGTAACACTGCAAGGGCTGGGGAAGACAGGTGTTAGCAGGGCCTTTCCATTTTTCGCTCTTCCTGCCCCTGGAGGTGCAGTGCTGGCATTAGGTGGTGGGTGGCTTGGGGTGGTGGGTCAGATCTGTTCACATCTTCTGAATGGCAGATAAACCTCCCTTGCCCTCTGCTTCCCTTGCAGCTCTTCAGTCAAGAGATGGTGATGAAGTTTGTGCCACGGTACAGCCTCGTCCTAGAACTCAGTGAGAGTGGGACCTTCCGAAGAAGCCTGCATGACCCTAATGGCCTAGTGGCCACCTACGTCAGTGAAGCACATGAACATGATGGGCACCTGTACTTGGGATCCTTCCGGTCCCCTTTCCTCTGTCAGCTCAGCCTTGAGTCTGTGTGATCTGCTGAGAGCCGCCCTGAGGCTGTGCCGGACAACATGTCACCCGTCTCACCGGGGCCTCATACCAGGGCTGTAGTGCTGGGGAGGGGCACTGGGTTTAGGAGGGATCATGGACACAGTTCTTATCCTGTGTGCCCATTACTTCTCAAGTCTGCAGAGGCGACTGCTGCATCTCCCAGAATGCAAACCCCCAAATGTTGCCTTCACTTGGACTTGACTTGGTATTTCTCCTCTGTCATAGGGAAGATAAATCCACGCAAAGTCATTTTCTCTTTAGATAATGCTTTCTCAGTCCATTAATTCTCGAGGAGTTTGGAACCTTATACACTTTAATCAAGGCTCAGGGTTTGGAGCAGTAGAAGAGCTGCCCATGGGTCTTATTTGGGCTGCTGGCGTGTCCTGCCAACCTCCATCTCTTTAAAATAAGCTTTGCCTTTGTTTAGGGCAGGGGAGCACAGTACCAAAGTACATAGAGATTGGTGGCAGGAGCTGTGTAGGTAAGGCATTTAAAACTATGATCTCAAGTGTAATGTTTGGAATCGGGCCCTTGGTCCCTGGACCCCCTTTCATATGGGAGAGGGTGTCAGTTTCTGCTGTGCAGCGTGGAAGTCCCTTTCATGTGAAGGAGGGTGCAGATCTCCCAGAACTTTGCAGGGTTCTGCAGGCAGTGAGCATGAAAGCATGTTTATTTCAATAGCGCACCAAGGACTTACGGAGTTTTCGTAAACTCACAGTGGCACTGGAACCTAATGATCCAGTGATTCCATACTACAGGCCTGAATTTAGGAGAGCCTTGCCCACACACCTTTGTTCTTCGTTCACTCTAGCCCTGCAGACATGAAGAAGGAACATTTGAGTTTCAGAGGCCCCAAGTGCTGGATATCTTGACAAATGTGTCTAACACACTGGTCGTAAGTTTATTAGGGAAGACACATAAAATATGGTCATATGAATTCTTTCCTACTGCTTATGCTTTTTTCTGGTTATTGATAGGGAGTGTCATATTTAGTTAAATATTCTTATTTTAGCAGTGACTAGAAATTTTATTTCTGTACTGTTAATATGAGGGTAGTTTCTGGTTAGAATTTTGTCTTAGTGATCTTTCAGTACCATCCCTGCATCTCATGTTGATCAGACCTCAGCCTTCGGAGGGGTGGTGCTATGTGAATACAGTAGAATGGATTCAAAGATGGACTTCAACCTGATGGATGGAACCTGTGTTATATCAAATGACCAACTGTTAATATTGTATACATGACTTTATATGAAAGAAAATTGAGTAGTTATTATTGAATACACTTTAATGTGGTATGCCTTATAAATTAAAAAGAGAAGACTAATCAGCCAATACCCAATCATTCAATCATAAAATCAATTTAAATGTGTCTCAGCCTGCAAATCCACATCTCAGTTCTCCATCTGAGAACTGAGGATTTTGCTTTAGTGCTCATTTTTCACCAGTACAGAGAAGTTAAAAAATTGGTTTTCACACTTTGCAATAAAGGAGTCTAAGTTTTGACTTAGTGCTGATTTTCTGGCTCAAAGTGCCCTTTCTTGCGTTCTAGCTGGTACTCTGACCTGGCAAGGTGCAAAGTCCAGCCTTCTTACTGTTTAGATGTGTGATATGCTTTTTCTGTAAAGAATAGAAAGGGTTGCTTTAATGTGAATTATTAACATGCTCTTTAAATCAAGTTACTCCTTGTGTGCCTCTTTATTATATATTGTAAAAATTCCTCCAGGATTCTGTTATTACATTTCATAGGGCAGAGAGTCCCATTTTGAGATTTTTATTAATAATGTAATATAACCGTTTTGAAGGTGGGGTTTTTTTTCACACATGCTAACTGATTTAATGCTACAATGATATATTGCCTTGTTCTGCAGATGGGAAACTTGAGGGGCACAGGGATTAGATGACTTCCCTCCATCCATGGACCCGCATTTCTGAGGCTGTCTGAGGCCTTGGTATCTGCTGGTCTGTATGTAAATGACGATGAGCTAAGAGAATAGACCTCACCTTGGTTGCTGCACTATCTTGTAGAAGTTACTGTAGCTCCTTTTATGGATGTCCTGAAGATCTTCTGGCTTAAAACCCTGTCTTTTGATGGAGATGGACCTGTCCATCTGTGAAGGTGGAGGTTGCCTTCAGTGAGCTTAGGAATCATTGAGTTAACACTTTATGACCCAGGTCTTCCAATACTATTCATAAATTAAATGAACAGAAGGAGGCTTTCTGGGAATAACTGAAAATCTTAAGGCCTCTTAGTGATGGAGACTCCTTGCAGTCCTCTCTATTTAGAGGTAAAACATAATCATCACTTTTAAGATGGTTATTTCTATTTTTATAACTTTATCCATCAAACATGGTCTGTCACGGACTTAGTTCCCATGTGATGCTATGACTACTCATGAATGGGTGGATGTCTAGGACCAGTGCACATGGGCAACCTCTGCAGATGGTCAGGACTCACCTCCCCTGGGCCAGCTCCCGATTCAAATAATTCTATACTCAGTTTCATGTTCTCGAGTAGTGTAAAGAAACAGCTATGCTATCCTGAACCCACTTGCCCTTCCTTTTTGCTCGCATGAAAGGTTCCACCTCAGTTGCCTCCAGAGTGTCTAGTAGCTGAGTATTGACGCTGTGACTGAAGGTAGCACAGAGGATGGCCCATTTGGTTGCAGCTTCAGTCGTACAGAGAAGAATGTCAGTGGCAGAGGAGAACAGGCACTGTGAACTTGTGAAGCCAGGGAATGACCCAGATCTCAGAGTAGCAGCTGAATGTCTGTGAAAAGAGAAGGAATACCTCTGAGTGTTGCCTGTCGTGTGTCAAGGTTGCCCACCCTAGTAAATACAGCTTCCTGACAGGTTCCTTTCCTAGAAGTTTCCCGGGGCCTCTGGCTATGGAGTGCTGAGCTGACCGGACCACTAGCACTCTGTGTGTGGGGTTTTCCATACTGAGGAATTCTGCCCTTCCCACCTCTCCTCAAAGGTTGTTTGTTTTGTTTTCGTTTTTCAAAATTTTATAAAAATTGAAAGGATTATTCAAGATTCAAGAGAGTTAAGTAAAAAAATTTTTTTTGCTACTATCAGACATTTATAAAACAAAAATATCAAAATGTAAAGCTATTGTTTCTGACATATCCTTCATGTAGTCCTGTTTACTTTTGAAGGTGGTAGATCCATCTCTCTCATCCCAAAGAATTCTGCACTCTTTAATTTACACACTATCAAAATGGCAGGTTTGGTATCCTTGAGGGATTCAAATTGTGTTCATTTTAAATGTTCTTTTAGTTTTAGGAACAAAAAGAAGTCTGAAGGCTCAAGATCAGGGCTGCAGGATGGATGGGATGAGATTTCCCAGCAAGATTCTCATAGACTATCACTTGCTGCCCTTTGAAGAATGAGTAGGTGCTTTGTTGTGATGGAAAATTCTTCAGTGTAACTTTCCTGAACTTTTTCCTCACTAATGTTGTTTTTGGTTTTCTTAAAACTTTTTCCTAATAAGACCCTGTGTTTGTCCTGTATCCTTTGAGAAAATCTTATCAAGAATGCCCCCTTTAGAATTCCTAGAAAAAAACAGTTACTATAATCTTCTGAGCTGACCTCTGCCTTGAAATGAACTGGTCCAGCACTTCCCCTGGGAAATTACTGTTTTGATCGGACCTGTTTTTGTTTTGAAGGTACTCTAAGGAGTGTATTATGGCAGGAACTCATCAACAGCCATCCACTGATCCAAGAGACATGTTTAAACACATTTGCAATAAACCTGTGCATTTATGAACTAGTTAGTAGTCAGAATTTTTTGTTACCCTCATATACTTTTCACCTATACTTACAGTTTGTTAAATGTGGCTGCATGAGACCTGTGTATTTTTCTTTGTATCTATATAGAAAGATATGCAAGCATCGATAGGATATATAGATCATATATATCTGAGGAGGAAGAAAATTCTGGATGAACTAAAAGTTGTCTTGCATCCAATTCTCTATCCCACGCCTAGATTATATATTACACCTGGAGATGTGATATCTAGGGAATTGAGGGACAGGTAGTTTGAGTAATGACAGTACAGCCTTCACCCCACTTTCTACCAGTATCTGTAAGCTGTGCAGAGAAAACAAAAGGGGGTCAGACACACGGTGGAATGTTGTTCACAACGTTAGGAAGGAGACAAGCAGACCGTCAACGGTGAGAGACCATCTCTTTTACCTGAGCCAAGGTGTGGTTAGTCTGAAAGTCACAGGTGTCCAGATTGCGCTGCCCGTTTTTCTTGCAGATTGTCCTGGCGATCTCCACATCCAGCATGTATTTCAGGCCTTTCACTATCTGAAGGGGAGAGAGGGACAGGATCCTAGTGCTAGGTGGAGGGGCTAATGGGCTCCTCCAGTAGCAAAAGGTGCTATTAGGGCAGGCGGGAAAGACACCCCGGTGGAAAGGGAGCAGAGCAATGTGGAGAGGGAGTCTTCATGCATCATTTAACAGAAGTGCCTCTGAGACTTGTGAACATGTTCTCAATTCCACTCAGTGTTGCTTTCAGTCCCCAGGTGGAGGTGATGCAGGCTCTGTGTTCGGTGCTAGTACATCTTTCTGCCCAGAGTCTTGCACACAGGAGTAACATCAAGGCCAGGTGCCCCTGGAGCTGCCCCAACACATTCCTGTAGCACACTAGCTGAATCCATGCCATTATCCGTTCTATGTCACTGACTACCACACTGTGGATTTGCGCTGTGTGATAGTTAGGTTTTCTGTAAACTTGACGGGGCCAGGATTCTCAGTGGTTTGGCAGATGATTTCTAGTCTCCTCGCTTTATGTGACAATGTAATCAACTCCATAATGGGATCTGTTGTGAGTAGCCAGTCAGGCACAATATGTTTAGGGAGTAGTGCAACCCCCTAATCAGGTCACAGCCCTGATGCAATTGAAAGGAAGTTTCCTCTGGGGCATGGTCTACTTCATATGTAAGTGGAAATTGTGGGAGTGCTGGCTTACTTTTTGCTGGGTCTGGTTATTGCATCTGACTCGTTGACCTTCAGTTCTTTACTAATGATAATGGCTTGCCATGTGCTCTGCTGACTCTGGGAGCCATCAGTGGCCTATCATCTGACCTGCTGACTTTAGATCCATCCACCTCTTCCATCCCAAGCCTGAGCTGCTGCGCTTAGAATTATCCTCTCCTGCAGTCACCAGCCTGTGCTCTGCCTGCCTGTTTTGGGTTCATTAGTCTCTGGAGCTATTCAAATTAGGAAAAGCCTCTAGCTTAACATCTAACCCACAGTTGGGACCTGCAAGGGCTTGCCTCTTCTACAATTGCGTGAGCTATTTTCTTGATATAAATTTCTTTTTTTTGGCAACGTTAAAGCTTTCTGAATGTGCAACAACTAAAATTTCTAAATCAATTGTGTAATGAATCGGTTTCTGACAGAGCTTGTCTGTGTTGCAAATTTCTCAGGCCAAAGGGGGTTGCAAGTGGAAAAAATGTAAGAAACCCTGCTCTAGTGAACTGAGCCCGACACATGCTGTCTACCACTGTTTTCCACAAAATTATTCCCACGCTGCTGGGGGAATGTTTGCTTTTCTTTTCATTTCTAAATAATGCTTTTATACTGGGATATTGCTATTGGGCAGGATTTTACCAGCAAAGTGGTATCAGAAATTTCCTCAAGATTTTATTTTGGCCCCACGAAAATACCAAATGCAATGTCATGGTCTCCAACATCACCAAGACCCGGAAGGACAGCTTCCTTGTCTTCCCTACTTACAGAGGACCCGGAGATTTTAAGTACAGCCGCATACTTGAGTTACCCGGAAAAGATGGGGAATTCCTCTCAGGCCCTGGAGCTAGGCCTGAGGCACTGTGTTGGGGAAAAGCCTTATAGTATGTATCACTACTATAATCTTTTGGCTGGCTTTCCCCAACATGATTCTCTATTCATAAAAAATGTAGGTGTAAAGTTTGCATTGTCAAAATAAGTAAATAAGGAAGTAAAAGTCACCCATAGCCCTATGATCCAGAGATAATCATTAGTAATGTGTAGAAAATATTATTGGCAGAGTAGGACTGTGAAAAATGCCCCAACTCTGTGTTAGCAATGAATCTTGGGTAGGCTAGGAGTGGCTGTATAACAGTTCTGACAAAAGACAGGATCCCTGACAGCTGACCAAGGCCAGGCTCTTGTGCTTCTGGCATACAGAACTGAGCCAGAGCTGGCCCAGACATAGCCCTTGAGGGGCTGTGACTGCTGTTTTCTTAGCAGAGAATGTCTCTGATGTGGACATTTCTACAGGGCTTGAAAGGAGGAAGCTGAACTTGTCAGGAAAGGGAAACTGAGGAGAAGGGAGCACCTTGGGCCAAAGCATTGTGAAAGGATAGGACATTCCTTGGACTTGCCCTGAAAGTGAAGGGTGGGCAGGAAGTGAGCTCAACTGTGGGTTCCAAGGACTCTGGGGTATGCCTTGGGCCCCACTCATAGGGTACTTTCTGACCAGCTTTGTGCCTGTGAAAAATTACTTTCCAGTATTCCTCTACTGTCAGCCTCTACAGCTTCTGTTTTCTTCTTGCTCCTACTCTTGTACTTTGGACTGAAAGGCCAGATAACTGGAAGGAGAAGCATGGTTTGAGCAAGGGGACCATGGGCCATGTGTTTCCAAACTCAAGGTGATACCAGTTTGGGCTGCTCTTGTGATATTTGTGGCCACTCTGTCCATGTCTGGCATGGGTTTGCGTGCTAGAGCACAAAGGATGCTGGGCATATGAGCTTGGCAGTAGCATTGATCTTGGGGTTTTTCTGAGAGGTTGACAGTGCAAACCCAGACAGACCCTCACCTGGACAAGGGCTCTTTTGATGTGGGACTCTTTGAATAAGAAAATATCATTTGTGCAGTTATTAAACCTTTCAACGCTGTGTCTGGCAGCTTTGAGGACTCCTGGGTCATTGGTCTTTATTGTTTTGGGGAACCCTGGCTTCACACTTGAGTTAAGCTTCTGGAGATTAAAATCTGAAAAAGACAGAAGCAGACAAAAACATTGATATTAGCAAGAACTTTTGTCTTAGATGTACTGCCCTACACCTGGGATTGCATGGTTTTCTATTCTGCTCCTATATGGGCCCCTGCCCCCTTGAGTATGGGGCAAAACTTGGAGATGCTTAAGGTGGGAAAGGGAGTTTAGGGGGTCATTTATTTTTAATGAAATGAAAGAGTAAACAAAGTATTGAACACCAAGCACTGCCTTTGTAGGAAGTAGGTAGGCATGTTTTTAGGTGCCACTAAGTTGGTTCTGATCCATAGCAACCCAATGCACACCAGCACCAAACACTGTCTGGTAGTCCTGGGCCAGCCTCACTATTATTTCTGTGCCGGAACCCATTGTTGCAGCCACTGTGTCAACCCATCTCCTTGAGAGTCTTCCTCTATTTTGCTGCACATCTACTCCAACATATGTAATACGAAGTCCTGCCAGCCTTGCCTCTAAGGAGCACTTTCACTGTACTTCTTCCAAGATAGATTGGTCTGTTCCTTAAGCTGTCCATACTACTTTCAATAATCCTTGCCAACACCATAATTCAAATGCATTATTTATTTGGTCTTCCTTATGTAGTTTCCAATTTTCACATGTATAAGAGGCGATTGAAAATACCATGGCTTGGATTAGGCTCACCTTTGTCCTCAAAGTAATATCCTTGCTTTTCTATACCCCAAAGAGGTCTTGTGCAGCAGATAGGTGGGCACAGGGACAAATAAGACATCCCCATGTTTGTTCTGGGAGTTGAGAGAATACCAATTGAAATGTTTCAACAATGCCGTGAATCAGTGGAAACACTCACCATGCCAAGAATTTGGAAGACAGTTACCTGCCCATCTAACTTGAAAAGATACCTATTTGTGCCCATTTCCCAGCAAAAGTGACCTAATAAAATGTAGAAATTATCAAGCAATATCACATGTAAATAAAAATTTGCTTTTATTTTTATTAGCACTTTCACAATGGCTACAACATTACATCAACAGCGAGTTGCCAGACATTCAAGCTGGGCTCAGATGGATCTTGTCTGAAAGCAGAGAATACCAGAAAGATGTCTAGTCGTGTTTTATTGACTCTGCACAGGCATTAGACTGTATGGGTCATAAGAAACTATAGATAGCCTTAGGAAGAATGAGAATTTCAGAACACAATTTTGCTTATGTGGAATTTGTGTACGGACTGAGAGGCAGCTGTAGCAACAAAGGAATACTGTGTGCTTTAAAATCAGGAATGGTGTGCATCAGGGTTTATATATTTAGTCAAACTGTATACTGAGCAAATATTGTATGGGTTAAATTCCACGGGGTAAATCTGCTGCAGGAGCCCTTTTTAGAGTACTGAAAAGCAAGATTACAACATAGACTAAGGTGCTCCTAACCCAAGCCATGGTATTTTTAGTTGCCTCAGATGCGCGTGAAAGTTGGCCATTTAATAAGGAAGGCTAAAGAAGAATCAATGCATTTAAATGACTGTGCTAGAGAAGAATATTGAAAGTAGCATGGACTGCCAAGACAAAAACAAATCTGCCTTGGAAAAAGTATAGGCAGAATGCTCCTGAGAGGTAAGGCTGGTGAGATTTTGGTCTCATGTACTTTGGACGTGGCAGGAGAGAGCAGTCCCTGGAGAAGGCCATCGTGCTTGGTAAAGTGGAGGGACAGTGGAAAAGAGGAAGCCTCTGCAAGACAAGATGGACTGACACAGTGGCTGCAGCAATGGGCTCAGACACAAGGACAATTGTGAGGATGGAGCAGGACTGGGAAGTATTTTGTCCTTTTGTACATTGGGTCGTTATGGGTCGGAACCAACTTAATGGCACCTAACAACACCATGCAATTGGGTCCTTTTGCATGTGATCACAAGATCGAGAAGTTTGAATCTACCAGCCATTCCCAGGAAAAAGGATGAAGCCTTCTATTCCTGCAGTTACAGTCTTGCAAATCCACGGGCGGGGGTGGAGGGGTTGGGGGGGGGGAGGGTAAGTTTTACCTTGTCTTGTACTATCATTTTAAGTCAAAATCAATGTGATGGCAGTGAGGCTATGAAGGAGTGAGGGCCTCTAGTGTGGGGCTTCCCCTTCCCTCTTTTTCCTCCCACCCTGGTAACCATCAACGTCTTTTAGTGTGAAAACTTTTTCTTGACTTTTTATAATAGTGCTCTCATACAATATTTGTCTTTGATAATGACTAATTTTACTCATGAGAAAACAGTTTGGGGCCACATCTGGCCTCTGCTGACTGCACAGGGAGAATTCATCTTCACACTACCTCAAAACCCATTGTCACAAAGCAGAGGTCAGACTTGTCTCCACCCTCCATCATTCTTTAGCTATCCTAACAACTCCAATAATGTTCTACGTTTCTGCTGAGTTAAATAGTTTGTTGCAGTGCCCACACACAACTTATAGACAGCCCACAAAATTATGACCAGAGACCAGACAGGAAGGAGAGAAGGTAAAAAGAATAGTCCAGCAGCCTCTGGTGGCAGGGCTATTCCCTCTGCCTTGGACTCCACATACACAAAGGACTCCACCTTGCTCGTGCAAATCGTTATACTGTCAGAGGAAAAAACCAGCTGTGGTTCATTAAAAAAAAAAAAAAAGACTCAGATGGCAGGCAATTGGACTTGTCAGTGCTATGGTGAGCATGTCTTAGAAGACACTTTCAGCTAGGTGTCTATTCTGCCTGGTATACATTCATGAGCTAGTAGAAGTAGGAGCCTGAGCTGGTGCCTAGAAGAGGTGAATGCTTGGCCTGGTGGTTGTCCCAGACTCACAATTATAACAACATGAGAAGTGAGCCCCCATAGGCAAACTGCAGGGTTCTACAGGGTCTAGAGGGAGTCCTAGCATCAGGACTCCCATGTGCACTCTGACAGCATCGTTCACTAGTCCCTGAGGGGAGTGTAGGCAATGCCCCTAAGGACAGGCCCTCGTAGGCTGGGTATGAGACCATTCTGGGCAGAGACCATCAGCCATTTGTCAGTTTGTCATACTGCAGAGGCTTACACTTGCTGTAGTGCTTGACACCATGCAACGGGGATCCCAAATACCAGCAGGGTCACAGATATTACAGGACCAGCATGACTGTTGTGCATGGGCACCATGAATTGGATCCAGCTAGCTGACTTGGCAGCAACTAACAACAGCAAGGAAAAGAAACAGTGTATGGGAGTGTTGGGCCCTGGAAACCCCCAAGGAGGACATAGCATGCCATCTTTGATTTCCCCCTGGTTTGGGACAACTGTGATGTCCTACGGCACCAAGAACAAACTGTGACCTCCAAGGGTGCTGGGCCTCTCCCAGAACTCTGCACTAGCCAATTCCTTGGTAGAATATCTTCATACAGAGTAATGCGTATAGATTTTTCATGAAGTCTTTAAAGAGTTTATATCTAATACAAAGCCGAACAGGTAGCATAAAAGCTACTGCAATATTTTGCTGGTCTTATGCAGAGTAAGCAGGATAAATTCATCCCTTACCACTTAACAGATTCATACAGTAAAACCCATGAATCCATGTGTCTTGGAAACCTGTCAGAAAAGGAAAGCTAAAATATTTTCCACTATAATGATCTAAAAGGGAGGACTGTATCATGTCAAAGATGAAAACCTTGTGAGACCCAGAAAAACAAGAGCATCCCACTGAGTTCCTGCTCTCACGGGGCTCACTCTCTGTGACAGTTATCTATCAGTGAGACAAGCTAGGTGTGTGGCCCTTTGGAGGACTCTGGAGTCTGAAATTCAGGCCATGTTCGGGGTACTGATCACAGTGGCAGACCTGGTCCCTAGGAAGGAACTACCCTCCAGCTCATCCAACTACGTTGATGGGCTGCCATGAAGGCTATAGTGCTGAGGAGCTCCTGTCCTTAGTAGGAAAAGGGCTGGGCTGGTGCTCATGGGGTGTCTATATCCCAATACCTGCCAGTCTCAGAAGTGTTGTAGTGAGACCTAGGAGGTTGAGTACAGCCCCCCACCACACCACACCCCTGCAAGCTGGTTAAGCTACCCTGGAGGAGGAAAGCAGGGTCCCCTCTTGGATTACGTGAGGCTGCGAACAGCTGATTGCAGTTTCTACATTTTCACTGACTAAGGCACAGAACAAGGCTCCATGAACCTTCAAGGAGGGGACCTCGTTGGACTATGGTCCAGGAGCTTACAGTTGAAGGAGTATGGGATGAAATGGGGAGGTAAATGCCAGTGCTCCCCGCCCCCCCCCCACCCCCCAGGGAGGCTACATACACTGACTGGGTTCTGAATGTGGAGAAAGGCAAGGGCAGAGGCCCATTATTTTGAGGGCATCTGTGTCATTTTGGCCCCTGACTTTCCTGAGTCTCAGCAAGTGAAATGGGGAAGATGCCAGGGGCCACCATGAGGTCCCTCAGACCGATCATCTCAGGTCCCTACAGAACCAGTTTTCCTTGTTCCCAGCTAGTTGCCAGACCAAATTCCACTCTGGAGTGATTGCCCCTCCTGATGCCATGTCTGTAGGCTAGGTGGTGTTGGCAGCTCAGAGAGAGGGTGCAATTAAGCAGCCAATGATCCTCTTACCTTTGAAAGGGTCCTTCATGGCACTCAAAACCAGGCAGCAGCAGGCCAGCAGCATCCAGGCAGCCCTCATGGTACTTGCCCACAACAGAGCTTTGTGTCCTGTAGCAGTGCTCCGTGTCTGATGGTGCCCTATGCCAGAAGTAGACTTGTCAGGAAGTGGAAAGGAGAGGAGTACCCCAACTATTCGACTGGGTGAAGTGGTGTAATACTGCTGTGGAGTGGGGGGTTTTGGTGAATCATTTTTATCAGAAGCTCTTTCCCGCTAGATCTATAGGCCAAACCTCAACCACTTCCTCTGTGCAAGTTTCCGAGCTGTAGTCAAACGTTAGTTGGGGGACGGGAGGAGACATAAAACCTATGACAAAATACACGGCAGTTTCCTCACCCAGCTGCATAAGGATATATATGATATATACATTAAAAACAAGCAGACAAAATCCAGCAGGGAGCTTCTGTAGCAAAATCACTTGAGTTTCCTTCTATAAACAATATCCCTCACTGCAAAGAATCAGTTGTATACTGCGGTGTCCCCCAGCAAGAGACCAATGTTCTTGGTTTAAGTTCTCACCTCTACAGGATTCCGATCAAAAGACTTGTGTGCAAGTAGCTGTGTTCCCACATGCCCTTATTCCCTGGGGGAGCAGCAACACTGATTCAAAGACTAGTCAGCCCTGACTTTTGTTCCGAACTGGCATAAGAAAGAAAAAGACATGCATGGTCTGTCCCAGGTGTCCTACCCTACTTTTTAAACTTCTGGGATGCAGAGGCCTGTTCCCAGAAGGGCATCCATTCAAACACGCAACCGTGTGAAGGTAAAGAACAACCTCTCCATGACTTAGTTTCCTTCATGAGCCATGGTGAAAATTTGGGGACTTTTCCTGTCTCCTGCAAGTGTGCAGGGCTTTGAAGAGAGCCTCTGCCATGGTTACAGCCTCAGGGAGGTCCGTGGCCTGCTCTAGACTTCAAGTCCGTCAGGCAGTAAGAGGGATGCTTGAGTCTGCTGATCACAGGGGTTGGAATGTATTGCGTTTTACTAAGACTGGCAGCTTCTGAACCAGTGCCTGGATTAAAACAGCTTTGTACAAGCCCTGTCAGATGGCTTGCAGGGCTAGGCAACAAGCACCAAGAATTCTGGCTACCTTCATCAAGGTCATAGCGTCATAACATTTCTCTTCTGGGCACACATTGTGCCCCATCTGGACTGAAACAGGGTATGTTTGAATTTTGTAATTGTCATCTTTGGATCACATAAGCTGGCGGGCTTCTTCCATGTGGACTTAGTTGACTCCTCACTTAGATGGCTGCTGTTTGAATACAAGCCTTTAAAACCCCAGATACTTTTCCATTATGGCACTGTAGGGCCATATTGTCAGAAACAACTGTTCTTGAACAGGGACTGGAGTTCAGTAGGAGCCCAGACTCCATCTGCTTGCCCATGGGGCTTGCACATCTCAGGTTTACTTTGAAAGCCATAATATGACAAAATCGATACTCTATAAGACCAACTGCATCAATAGCAGTCCTAAGCTAACAAGCAACCAAACAAACAGAACACACACACATACACACACAGAAAGAAAGAAAGCTAACCAGCAACCAACCAACACACACACAAGGAAAGAAAGAAAGAAAGAAAAAAAACTACAAGCAGGAAAGCAAAACCCATGTAGACAAGACGTAGAATATTGTCAATCACCCTCCCCTGGGTTATACGTCAATCGCACTGTTATCATCAATTTTCCCAATGACCTAGCACTTCATACACTGTCGGTATGAGGTGCCTATGTAAATACAGTTCCTCCTTGAGCTGCAACCTACAAATTTTTGCCCTACACACTTTGATCTCCCATTTGTTTGGGCTCTGTTGACCCTAAGTATGGGGATTGATGTCAGGAGGGACCTTCCTGGATCAATTCTTCCGAGTGCAAATTCTTGCTCAATGGATCAGAGCCTGTCTTCCCACTGCAAGGTAGGCAACATGTATGGTGATCCTGGGTCCCTTTCCATTGGACACCCACCAAGCCCCAAACTGCCACTTCCACAGTCCTGGGGCAGTCACTTTCTGCTTCCTCTCCCATCCAAATACCCCAGTCCTCAGTCCAAGGGTACAGGCAGCTTCAAGTCAGGGTTCAGTTCATTCAGCCAGGCCTCTATGTTAAGTACTTGTGGTGTAACCCCTGCATTTACGCCATGCTGCCTGCAAGGTCAGCTTCCACGATCATCATGTGCTTAATCTATCGCGTGGATCACCATAGGTTGGGTAGAAACATATTCGTAGTGTCTACCCAGGAACAGAAAATCTGCTCTACTCTCCTCTTAGATTCCCTACTCTTAGCATCCCTTCCTGCTGTGAGAGTACTTCTCCCCAATTACCCGCCATACTCACTAACGGAACCATCAGGGCCTCCTCCACAATGTAGACGGTCCCCTCTCCTGGTCATGGCTTGAATGTCCAGAAAGCTTCTCCTTCCATCCCTGGGGGGGCCCAATGACTTGCCCCAGCCTTGTTTTGATGTAGCATAGCCTCAAGTGAATGCTCATCCCCAATGTCTCACTCTTGAAGGAGTGGCCCCTTCATGTTAGCTCTTGTGATGTGTGCAAAAGGGAGATGATGTCTGGTTCATGGCCCGTAGGTACCCTTCTCTCCTTTTGATCAGGAATTGGTTCTTAAGATCTGTTTAATTGGTGTTTCTTTTTTTTTTGCCAGCAATCAACATTTTACTTTTTTTGAAATGAGAAAACCACTCGTACACTTGAGTTTTTCCAGGTAGAGCTGTGTTCAACATCACAATAGTTTCTGCTGTATTTTTCCTGAGCAGGACAAAATTTCACAGCCGCACACTGTTCTCTTAAATCGGCCATCACCAAAAAAAAAAAAAAAAGCTTTGAGTGAAACTGCTTTTATGAAAAAACTCACTGTGACCAGAGAGAACCAGGCCACACCACAGGGTGCACTGACTCAGAGGGAGTTGCTTGGTGCTCGCCTGGCAGGAACAAATGTGTCCTCTGAAAGCTCTGCCCAGCAGAGCTTTTGTCTTTGGTTTTCTTTTTTTTTTT